TTACTAAAATTACACAACTACATAACACATATTATACATTGCTTAGTTCAAATTAATTTCGCGTCGAATCTTACACGGCCTTGTTTGCATTTACATTATTTTCATCGCATTTCCGCAATATTCCTTTTATTATGTTAATTAAATTCTAGGGATATTAATCTCTTCCGTATTTACCGACACGCGGAAACTTGAATATCGCGCAAAATCTGTTAACGGTTATGTTTATTGAAATATGCGTTTAATTTCGCGGAGTATGACGCATTGATATATGATCTTTTATGTTGTAATATATATCCCGTGTCATAAAAACTCCGAATTGTCACTATCTTTTGTGTTCAATCGTATGTAGATTATCAAAGGGCGAGCGGTCAGAACTGATTGGCGGGACGGAAATACGGCTGTTTTGCATCAACGTGCCCAACGTGAACAGACTTCCGGTCTTTTCTGAGACTCTGTAAAGATGTAAGATCAAAGAAATTCAGTGTTGTCTTTCTTATTTCGAAAGGATATCTTAAAAAAACTTTTTCTTGCGTTACTACAAATTCACTTCGAAGTTCATTTTGATTTTGATACGATGTTTCATTAAATAAATAATACAAACACGCAGGTGGACACACAGAGGAAACGATTTCGTCGATTTGTAATAAAATTCGATCAATTTTGCATCGTGAATATCTTTACGTAATTTCTCGCATTTCGTTTCGTTCGAATATTATTCTTGTGATGAGACGGGGATCTACAACTACGATGTGCTTGTATGCGAGTAGTTCTCGACGGGGTAAGAGAGATATCGGAGAAACGCCAATGCAAACGGGCGCGTTGCGGCGTTCCTTCTGACATTCAAATGTTGCCCGCCGCCAACGAAAAAGGATACGTACGAATCCGACGCCGCCTATTCATCGCTCAAAGGGATCATTTATCAACATATTTGATATGCTCCCTACACCCACTTCCTTTCTAGACCGATACAGAGAAGAGTCGCGAGAGCGTGTTATTCTTTCTCTCTCTCTTCCTTTCTCTCTTTCTCTCTCGCGCGCGCACTTTCTGTTCGCTCTCGACTTCCATAGAAATAATATGCTAATCGCGCGAAGGCGGAGTTTAAAAAGTGCTCCGATAAATTCTCGAGACTTTTGACGTAATTTCGCCCCTTCTCACCGCAGCCGCAACGTCTTCCGAAAGATTCTTTTTGCGCGCGCTTTCCGGCGTCTTGAGAGAACTTTACCTTACCGCGTAACGTGCCCCGGTATACATATATCATCGGAGGGATATACTTCACCCCGTAAGATCCTCCTGGATCTCCGCATTGCGTCGCGTTTGGCGATTTTTTTCCCGATCAAAATATCTTACTTAGCAAGTACGGAATAACAGACGTCTTTGCAATAAATACAGTTTAAAAATTATCTATTAAGAATCTTTATTTTAGACCGCATATGAGAAACACAATCAATACGAGATATTTAAAATGCCTATTACGGTCGAAGCTGGATCTTCATTGCTTAAAATAATTCAATCTTGAATTACTAATATACACTATATATGTGCTTGCATATATACCATATTATAGTCTTTTTCAAACTGCGCGCCGAATTGTTTTTCCGGATAATATAAACACAATTAAAACTACTCTAGTAATCGCGAATTAAATTGACAAGCAATTTTAATAATTTGCTACAATCAAGCATCATATTATAAAGATGTTAATATATTGAAAAACTTCAAGTCCCGGCCGAGGTAATATTTTTCGCAATAAATTTATTAACAGTTTTTCAATATATTAACATCTTTATAATATGATGCTTGATTGTAGCAAATTATTAAAATTGCTTGTCAATTTAATTCGCGATTACTAGAGTAGTTT